TTGCTCTCAACTTGAAACCGTTACCTAACTGGAAATGTCGAAGAGGGAGTCAACTAAAAACCTTGTTCAACTCGGTCCACCAGGACATGGAAGTGGTGCTTGGACCTTCGGTATTCGGTCTCCGGCGCTGGAGAAGAGGCTATTTAGAGCTCTCCGGATCCGCTGCCACCAATCGTCACGCATAAAGATGTACATTCCGTGACATAATCGAGGCCGGCTATATCAGGCGTGATCACAGCCGTAACAAGTACAGTATGGCGAGTGCTGCAAGAAACATTCCGCAATTTGAAAAAGACCACTAATCACTCGCAAGAAATCATTGAGTAGGGTTGCAATACTGTCTGCCCTGCAGTCATATTTCAATTATTTTCGGTAACGCTAGGATACCGACTCTGTGATAAGCTTCTTGCTCACCACAACGAAAAAAACTGATTCAGTAAAAAATGACTACTTAAGTAGTATGCATTTTTATCATTGATTTTGACTGTCTTTATAAATTCAAATATATTTTATGGAAGCATGCACCAAAAAATCCTTTCTTGTACTAATTTAATAGAAAATTACGCCTTGTTTTAATCTTATTCATAGAGGAAGAGTTATCTTCGGTTTTAAAAAAGTTTATAAATTGCCGAATGATTTTGAAACCTACCGACTGCTAGAAATGAATTCAGGTTTTACAAACTGAATGCTGTGTTCCTCCTGTTTAAAAAAAGGTACGTTCTTGCACAGCTCTCATAGAATTCCACAATAGACATGGATCATGCTGTATATATCAGGGGCAGCATTCATAAATTGATAAATAAATTGACGGACACGATGTATTATGAATGAACACCGCACAGTGGTAAAAAACTCAAAATTAGAAATTTTATTAAAACCGAAGGAAACCCTTCCTCTAAGAATAAAACTTAGAGAAGGCGTCATTTTCTATCAAGTAAGTACAAGAGATGATTTTTTCGTGCATGCTTTCTACAAAATATATTTGAATATATAAAAGTATTTAAAATCGATGGTAAAAATACATACTATTTAAGCAGCCATTTTTATAGAATCAACTTTTCCGCAGCGGCCAGTAAGAAGCTTATCACAGAGTCGGCATCCTAGTGTGACTGAAAATAATTTTAATTGGTCTGCTTGATAAACGGCATTGCAACCCTACTTAATGTTGTTTTGCGAGTGATAATCGGTCTTTCACAAATTGCGGAAGGTCTGTTGCAGAATTCGCCATACTGTAAGTAGTAAGTACTTGCAATAAGTAGCAACTTTTAATTATAAAATGAATTTTACTGACAAGAAAATTTCTATTTTAACCTGTTGCAGTTCTTCAGCAAGTTGAAAATATTGATGAAAACACAATTTAGTGCTTGAACTTAATTACTTATCTTACGTTCGTGTATTCCATGGCATCATAATTAGTAAGTGTATGGTAAAAAAACTTTTAAGAACATCTGAAAGGTTGCCTTCCCTGTTTTCTGAACGCAAATTGGAAAATAAACCGAGCTATGCCAATAACTAAGTCGGAATCGAGGTAGGGATGTTCTACTGCGTGCAAAGGCCAGCTCAACTTAAAGTGCGTTGTTTTTTTCACCACCAGACGGAGACTTTTCGTCTTGTTGCAGGCCTACCAGCCAGGTCTTGGCAGTGTGGTTCAACATCATACATATTCTACTGCTCCGCTCTGTAATCTCCCAGAAGACGCTGGGAACGTCTTTATCTCGCACCTTGACATCATGCAGAGTGCACAGCATGAAGGAGATTTAAGCTATTTTAATGTCTTCTTATTTTGTTTGTGCAAGCTGCCGCGCATCAATGGCTTTTTTGCTTTTTTCCACCATGTCACTGTAAATATGTCAAACGCCACATCGACTGCATTTTGTAGGATAGGCTGCATTCTTTGCACCCCCCGCCAATCATACGTTCTATTTACTTCGCCCACTTTAACGTTTGGCGTCATGCGATTATTTTGTTTATTTATATCCTTGTGTGATTTGACAACCAACAGTTCTGAATGAAAAGGAAGCCGAGGTTTGTTATTTTGTCCTCGCTATCACCAGAGTTTACAGCTTCGTTGCTGGTCTGTAGCCATTTTCTATTCTCCTTATATTGTTTTCATTATCACTAGCGATATGATTTGGTCAGGTGCTTTGTGTAGTTTTCTGGCAGAAAGCGATTTGGGCGAATTTTTTTAATGCAGTAAATGTACAGTAGTCGCCAATGACCATGCAACGTTCATAATGAAATTTGACCTGGAACTTTAGCGTATATTTAGCAACACTATTTTGATTCATTCAGTTTATTGAATGCT